CGTATTTCTATTTTGAATAACGTGTCTAGCTTGTAATGAGTTGGTTAAAAAAATAAAGTGATAATTTTATTTATCTATCTATCTGTCCATTACCTATCCATCTATCCACTTATTTATCCATCTCATAGTTTAATTTTTAAGATAATTTTACGTTTTAGTGTCTCTGCTGCTTTTCTTAAGTTTTGTCTGTCTGTCCGTTTACTTATATATTTGTCTCTCTAACATTCTATCCACTTTCTTTGCTCGTCTGTCTAAGGAATCTTCTAATGTTTGTCTTCTATTCTGACTTTCTTTAGAGGCTACAAACTAAAAAAAACGTCATCTTTGCTTCGTAAGAAACATTTATTTTTGTTTGATTGTAAAGTTGCACCAGGGTGCGTGATCGAGATGCCTGCCTGCCATTGAGACAAAATCGATCTAACAAGAACCGCACACGTCTATAACCATAAGCTTTCCGAAGTGTCATTAAACGGTCATTGTACCGTTCTTTGTACAAGTACGTGCTCTGTACGTGCAGCCGGGAATGCATCTGATACTTCGTTTTATCTATGGTCCTCTAATGGATGGAAAATGGATAAACTCACTCATTTAGGTTTCTCATTTTCCACGTCCCCTCTATAACTCCATGACGTTATTAAATCAAACCTATCCCAAAGAAAATCTAGCATGTTATTAACCTTTTCAATGACATTAAGGCTGATCTAAGAAAAAACGTGACTTTTTTGAAAATCAAACCTTGGCCACTTGGCTAAGCCCCCTCCATTCTGCTCCGTGAGTTATTTAATTCCTTTGTGTATCACAAAGAAGCCATCGTACAAGCGCTCTTATACTGGCAGTTATCGGTTCTTGAACTTTGGAACTGGTGGACAGAATACTACTTCAATCCTATAAGAAGTTAGCACTTTGACTTGTCACAGCGATACAGGTTAACGTCATAGCTCAGTCTATCTGAGTTTAAGCTAAGAAATAACCACACGTGACACAATGTGTAAAAAAAACTATGAAAATATTATATGATAAGTTGTTTAGGCAGAGTATTCATGATTAGAGGTGAGTAACCTGTGGTTACCATTAGTTGAATCTACAAGAAATCTCTCCTCCAATCAGAAACAGGGACAAACCAACCAATCATAACACAATCCACCAGAATACTTTAAAGACTGGCAACACCTTACACACACACACACTGACCTGAAGACGAAAGGTGGAAGACTTTCGAAACGTCGTCCTCTTCAATTGTGTCTCCAGAAAAGGCAGTTGCCGTCCATTCTACAAAGTTTGACTATGAAAATAATTTTCATTAAACACTTAAGACAAAAAATGCGTGCTTGCTTAGAGAATAGTGGGCAGTCGCTTCTTCCCTAATTTTTCTTTCATTGGTCAGAAGATGAAAAAGCTAGGTCAAAATTAGAATCAGACTAACTAAACGTAAGGTTTCTACCTTCCAAGAAGCCTTGCATTTATACAGTGCTACATGATCTACCACGTGATTGGTCATTCTCATTCCACATAGGTGGAGCCGTAACCTGTAGATATTACTTGTACAACCATTGAAAGACACTGCTATCGATTTCTTGAACAAAGTCGCTGTAAGCAATGTCCTCTATTCGCAGTAACATGTATTACCAACTCTGAAAATGAGAAAGGAGCAAAGGAAATTTGAAACAAGATTAACTTAACGTCGGCCCGGCATGGCCAGGTGGTTAAGGCACTCGACTCGCAATCTGAGGGTCGCGGGTTCGAATCCCCGTCACACCAAACATGCTCGCCCTTTCAGCCGTGGGGGCGTTATAATGTGACGGTCAATCCCACTATTCGTTGGTAAACGAATAGCCCAAGAGTTGGCGGTGGGTGGTGATGACTAGCTGCCTTCCCTCTAGTCTTACACTGCTAAATTAGGGACGGCTAGCGCAGATAGCCCTCGTGTAGCTTTGCGCGAAATTTATATATACACACACACACACATGTGTGTACCATCTAGAGCTGGGATGGCAACTCCGTTATTCCCTTATACCAAAATATGCCCTGTGAGAAGACTGGTATGGTTAGATATCAGTTATTGGCGGCAAATATGTCCAAATCCAAGTTACAAAACTGCTCACCAAAGCAGAACGAGGCAACTGCATTGCTCTCTTTACAGTGTCTCCGGGGGGTTCTGCAGTAAGTTTGAAGACTTACAACGCTCAAATTTGGTTTCGATATCCACAGTGAAGACAGCCCATATAGATCATTGTGTAGCTTTGTGCTTAACAACAAACAAACTTTTTACAATAAAAGTATTTACCAACCAAGAATTGTAGATGAAATTCTGTTGAATAATTCAATGAGGAGAGCCCCCATAAAAAGGCTCGCATAGATCTTACGTGTGTATTCTTCGGTGATGAAAGCCTGGAAGATGGGGTCATCAAGCTAAGACTTGGCCACTGAAAGTAGATTAAAGTAACACACGTGTTACATCCCTTCTCTCACAACTAGTACGATAGTTAAACTGTTTTATCCAATAAACTGTTTTGTTTTTCGTCCAGGTCACTTTTGCAAAATCGGACTCTATCAGAGATGGCAATGTCATGTATAACAAATATTTGGGTTTGTGTTTTGTGTGGTCCAGCAGTAAGCTGAGTAAACGTTGGACACAAAACTCACTCGAGAATGCACCAGGACTTAACTGTCGAGGAGATAAGTAGTGTGGCCTAGTTGTTAACGTGATGACTGGGAATTGTAGTCCAGGGTTTGAGAAGTGATTGTGGTGAACCCGCTCCGCAATTTCAACTGTGAACATGTTAGAAAAGTGTCATTCACTTCTATTATGTGATTCAAAAAGCCAGACAAAATCCTTGTGGTGGTGGGTGCTGCTGGCTGTCTGTCTTCCCACTAGTCAGTAGATCAAAATGAGGGAAATCCATACTTGAAATTTAGAGACTTATAGCCTGGTCGTTTTGCTCACGTGCGCAGTAGGTGCCATTCAGGCTAGAAATCCCAAGACAATTTGCATCAGTTTCACTGTCATCTGGAGAGATGAATCATCATGTGCATGGCTTGTTGATAGCATTTGGTACAAATTAAGTTCCCATTAAGTAACCCCTGACATGCGCCTTCACTCCTTCGACATGACTGAACCATTACAGGTTACACAACTGCTTTAGTAAATGTCTATTTTTGGTCGTTATTTGTAGGCAAATTTCCCATCGTACGATCACTTGTTCTTTAAGCATAGAAAACCTAACCACATATTTACAAATAGGGTTTAGTTAATTATTTTGATTGATTTACGAAAAAAAAAGAA